TCTACATCTTTTCACTTTTTAGTGAATTAAACTATTATACTTTATGAACATTTTCTCTATAACATGGAGAAACACTTATATGGTGAGCTGTCCCCAGCTGGTATGTGTCTCTGAAGGTCAAATTACTCTTATAGAAATATAAGTTGGCTGATTCTGAAAATGTACACTTCATTTCATGGCTGTTATATTTCCAGACATCCATCCTTCGACAGCTTGTTTATTAATTCCAATTTAGAACTCAGCAATCTTACACAGCATTTTTCAGGCTACATATGAAATTCTGAACAGGAGGATAGGAATTAGCCAAATATAAAGATCACATTCAATATGAAACCAGTCTAAATATGGACCTTATAGAGCATCAACGATTACTTAGTAAGCTATCTGTACTATTGTAGATTTATAATATAAATGTACTTATACACAAGGGCACCATGCACATTCATCCTTAAAATATGTCAAGCCAAAATTTTAAAAAATGCAGTACATCTCTGCAATGCATATACATTTCCCAATGTTTTATCCTTTTAAGACCCTGCAAGTACATATACTTGTTGATCTGCCAGAAATGTGTCTAACTCCTAAGTCCTGTTGTAGGTTGACAAAGCACTGCTTTTTTTGCGGACTGTTTTCATCCCCGCCCAGTGTCTTTTGCAGAACTACTCAACTACTCATACTCTCACATCTCCACAACATAAAAGCTAAGCATTCTGTTGTCCACAATAAGAACTAGGTGGGCTCTTTGAGATAAAAAAAGGAAGTATGCATGGGACACAGGAGAGCTCTGAATTTTTTGCAAGATAAATAGGTTTATTAACCACTTCCCGGCCGGCTGTTGTAAAAAAACGGCCGGCCAGGAGCTCTCTAGATCTGAGCGGGCGTCTCTAGACGTCCACTCAGCCACGCCCCCTCGCGCGCGCCGCTGTGTCACTCTCCAGCTTCAGATGCTGGAGAGAAGCTGATGAAGCAGATCTCTGCTTCATCAGCTTCTTCAGGGGGGTCCTAGGTGACATTAGGGGTCTTGGAGACCCCTGATGTCTCCATAAAGAGGACCTGTCACATATTTTGCTATCACATAAGTGGGTTTTCTTAGCCCCCTATGTGATAGCAATACAGTTAAGTGAGAAAAAAAATGTAAGTTTCCCCCCCCAATTTTTTTTTAAAGTTACAAATAAAAAAGAGTTACATTTTTTTATTATTTATTTTTTAAGTCCCCCCCATACATACACGCATGCAAACAGGCGTCGGGTGCGCATACGCGCGAAAATGACGATTTCGTCCATTACGCCGCACATGTTACATATCGTCGCGAACGTTGGAATGAGAGCAATAATTCTAGGGCTATCAATCACTGATAACACTAAACTTATGAGCTGTAAAAGCTTTTAAAGCGTCGCCTATGGTAAATTTTGGGTATGGTAGTTTTTTGCGATTTCGCTGGTGCGCGCAATTTTAAAGCATGACATGTTTGGTGTCTATTTACCTGACGTGACCCCGTCTTTTATATTTTAACAAAAATATGGGTAATAATCATTGTTTCCTAATATAATGGGGGAAAAAAACCTTTTTTCCCCCAAATTTTTTAGAATTTTTCCTTATAGTAAAAAATAAAAAAACCCCAGTGGTGATTAAATACCACCAAAAAATGGTATAAAATTAATTTCAGTGCAGCGTTGCATGACGGAATAAACGTCAAAGTACCGCAGCACTGAATACTGAAAAATGGCCTGGCCAGGAAGGGGGTCTAAACACCTGGTCTTGCAGTGGTTAAAGAGATCTAACAAAATGCTTCCAATGGTATATTAAAAAGACCAAAGGGAGCAAATAAGAGAAGTTTATTGTTAGTGTTTACATATAGTATACATTAATGTGTTTCTACCCTACCATTTCCCTCTACCTTCCCCCTTTAATGTCACTAAAAGTGTGACCATGGCAGTAAAGAAGATGCAGCAGTTTAAAGCCTAACTCCAGACAGATGTTTTAGGTTTGGATAAAGGGAAGAGTTAACATTTCTGTCCAGTTCTTATTTCTATCTATGACCCCACTAGGGAGACTTTCTGCTGAGCATTATTCATGTGGTTTAACAGCATTTATTCCACTTTAAATTACCTTAATTGTTAAAGTGCACAAATAAATAAATAAAGGCACTTTTAAAGGAAATGTGAAAGTATTATTATACAGAATTTATATATTATTATACAGGATTTATATAGCACCAACAGTCTGCACAGCGCTTTACAATATAAGGAAAACATTACAATCACAATACAATTCAAGACAAGATGGTAAGGCGGGCCCTGCCTGTGAGGGCTTACAATCTTAAAGGGAGGGGGACGTTATCTATTGTTGACATCTCCTGTAAATACTAATTGCCTGACTGTCTTGTTGAATCAATTACTCCTACACAGACCAGACAGTAGGTATTTAGAAAAATGAGTTCTGGTCTTTCTGAGACATCTGATGTATATAACTTGTTCTGATTCAGGCTTAAAGCCAGAGTCAACCAGCCAACTAGCATTTTCAGAAGGAGGTCTGCAATGGCATGTTACTGGAAAGTTTTTTTTCTCATGATAGGTTTACTTTAAAATTTAATGTTACACATATATGCTCTTTATGAATGATCTGAACATGTTTTTTGGATATGCAAAAAAACTAGGCATTGGAAAATCACTTGCAGCGTTATTGGTAACCAGGTAGAGATAATTTAAAGGGATATGACTCGTCAGCTACCTGATAGCTACATTAGGAATGACTCAGACCCACTTACTTACTTACATAAATGTACCAGACACATTCCTCTCAGGATGTAGTGCTTGTCACCTAAATGGGCACTAATTATTTTGCTTTAGATCTTACAATATTACCTGTAGATTATACTCAAAACAAAGTCCTTAGTCTTCTGCATGTCTTTATAAGTCCCTCACTCACAGGGCTATATAGGCTAGATTCTTAAGGTGATATTAAACCCTTGTTGACCAAACTTCTCTTATTTGCTCCCTTTGGTCTTTTTAATATACCATTGGAAGCATTTTGTTAGATCTCTTTAACCACTGCAAGACCAGGTGTTTAGACCCCCTTCCTGGCCAGGCCATTTTTCAGTATTCAGTGCTGCGGTACTTTGACGTTTATTCCGTCATGCAACGCTGCACTGAAATTAATTTTATACCATTTTTTGGTGGTATTTAATCACCACTGGGGTTTGCCTATTTGCCTTTATTAAATCAACCTCTATAACTATGCAGTCTATGTTTGATCAGTATCCAAATAGATGTGGAGCAATTGCCCCTACCTAAGACATAGTGGGCTTGATTTACTACAGGCAAATATGCCATTCACGTAGCAAAGTAAATTTTCACTTTGCGAGGGGATTCTCCCCTAGCTTAGTTTGAGGTGAAACTCTGTTGACTTTCATTATCCAATCATATGCAAGCAATAATAATGGTTTTTTTTTTCCTGCAAGTGATTGGGTATTTTGTACAAAGTGAAATTTCACCACATGCGCCAAGCTAAGGGAAAAATCCTTTGCAGAGTGAACATGCTCTACTCCTTTAATAAATCAAATACAGTATTTCTATTTCAGACTGCATGGTAGATATCCAAGATGAAATGATCTGATCAGTTTATTGTAAATTATCTTATCAATTGGTGTTTTGGTGTTTTTTTTGCTTCTACATATAGTTTGTAATTATATATGTACTTGTGGGGGGTCATATTTGCTCAGTACATATGAAGACTCTACTTCCTTCTTAGTAACAATGAACAATGGTTGCACCCTACTGTTCATCTTTCTTAATACAAGTTAACCAGTCAGGGCTGACTGCCTGAAAATATAGCACACTCTTTGAACCCTTCAACTCTAATCACAGCAGTTGCTAATGATTTTTCTTGTAGGAAAATACAGTATCCAATACAGAAAATCTGTATATGTAATATAGCCATGGAAATATAGTTTAGCGGGCATTGTACAGTAAATTGTAAAAGTTACTTAATGGTAAATGTTGTAGTAAAGTTCCATGTGTGCAGCGTATAGTTCATCATATTTTAAATGATTATTGTTTTTTTTATGTGGAGGATTTGTATTAGACTGATAAGAATACTGCTGAACATTAATGCCACATAATCTTTCTACTACCGTGTTTCCCCGAAAATAAGACACTGTCTTATATTTTTTTGCCCCCAAAAACCACAATAGGTCTTATTTTCAGGGGATGTTTAATTTTTTTTTAATGTGCAACAAAATGTACAAAAATCAAAAGTTAGCTGGTATCACTCCGCCTGTCACAGTAACTGGCGCTATAGAGGAAGTATCGGATAATACGGCTCTGCCGCTGCAGCCTTGCTTTCTACAGCGCCGGCTTCCTTTGCCATCAGGGACAGCGGTACCAGCGGTGCAGCAGTGGGGACATCAGACAGTGGACAGCGCGGTAAAGTATGGTGCCATTTACCGGTACACATTACAGTACAGTACCATTACATTAAGCAGTGCCTTCAGGGGGACAGCAGTTGGTGAAGTATGGTACTGGAGTGCTTCCTGTCACTGTGCTGTCTGGAGGGAGTCCCCTGTCATCCTCTTAATACAGTATGTCCCTGCAGGCTGATACCATCTGTCCTGCAAGTTCCCCCTCACATGCTACCACCAAACTAGGTCTTCTTTTCGGGGTAGGTCTTATATTACAGGAATCTTGAAAAATAGTACTAGGTCTTACTTTTGGGGTAGATCTTATTTTCGGGGAAACAGGGTAACATGTATCACTTCCAAGAGCCTCAGAAGCCACCACAAAGCCTAAAGGAATTTTATAATACTTTTATCATTATCATCTTTAAAGATTTTTCTACATGGTTGTATTGTGGTTGTATTATTCCTATTTTAAAGTACAATCATGATGACATTTTCAGCAACAGCAGGTCACATCTAATAAGGTTTATAATGATATAAAGCAGCTTTGTAGTACAAAGTAATACAATTTATCTGTGACATTCTTTCTATATTTCTCCACTAGCCCTCCGAAGTCGATCAGGTAGATCTATCATTAATGGGAACTGGGCGATTGACAGACCTGGAAAATATGAAGGCGGGGGAACAATGTTCACATATAAGCGACCAAATGAAATATCAAGCACAGCGGGTGAATCTTTTTTAGCTGAAGGACCAACCAGTGAAATACTGGATGTTTATGTAAGTACAAGACGTTGGCTTTTAAAAATTCTAAATCAAGGAACAATAGTCTATTTGTTCAACACACAAGTATAGATACTCAGGGCACAGAACATTGGAATAAAAGATAAAGCCTAGAAAGTGGTATGTAAAATGTAATAGCTGGACAAACACAGTTTGAGGACAGCTAAAGTGGATGGAGATGAATGGAGATATATAATTACTGAATAGTGTGATGACAGTTATTCTTCATATAAAGCAACATTGTGTTCTGAAGAATAAATTGCAGACATTTAAAGCAAACTGCCAGTAATTCTAAAAAATGTTTTTATAAAAGAATTGGTAATATTTCCAGGTATGTTTATAAATGTGAATTTGTTAAAACCAAATTTGCTTGTCTTTAAGGGGTTTTATAGCCATTAAGTGTGTGGACAACACATTACACATGTTGGCTGCTTTCTTTTTTCTATCATGTCCTTTTTTTTTTACATTATATTTATTTAGAACATTTTGCACGACAGACATTGAACAGAGTCAAATAGGCCATATTCCAACAATTAACACATAGCATAATATATTGTAAAGCGCTGTGCAAACTGTTGACACTATATAAATCCTGTATTATAATAATAATAACATATAAATTCTCATAAATATAAGATGCACATATAGACATGACTAGGTACCATGTTGCAAAGCAGTGATGTAAATCAAAGGTATACCTTATTGTGCATAATGAAAACGAGCCCCTCCCAGGAGCACAGTACAGGATACACTGTACTAGTCCAGTCTATATCGCTAATACCAGAGCAGGAGTATAGCCCATAAACAAAGAAAAGAGGAAAGCAGACAAGAAAACAAAAGAGACAAAGAAGACAAAAAGAGGATGTCAGTCGCCAACCTGAGAGCCCAGCAAATAAAGTCTCAGATACAGAAACGCAAAGTTCAGGTATTCAACAAAGAACATAAGTTATCGATAATGTAGAATTGCAAGGGGACGCAAAGTCAATCCTGCTTCTGTCGGCGCCCAGTGGGGAGGAGAGAAGCTGTCAGGAGGCCGAGCAGTGAGGAGAGCTTGGGCTCCTGTGACAGGCGGAGTGGATAGATGGAGAGCGAAGCACAAACGCTCAGCAATTAGTACTGATTGTTTGCAAATAACTGAGCTTACTGTGTCCCCAGTTATGAATTATTAGGAAGTGCTCTACATCACTTCCTCTTTTGGTTTCGGTCTAGAAATGTAATTTCGGTACATCCCTACTCACCTGATTCGCGATCCTGCCAGGCTGCTTAACTAGCCGCCTCCTCTCCCCTGGGCTCCAATGGTCTAAGGATTCATGATGTCATCACATGTAACGCAGGTCCATTCACCTGCATTAGAATTGAGGACACCGAGGGACATACTACAGCCGCAATGGAGGGGAGAGAGGTGAGTGTTGACCACCACAGGACGAAAAGACCAGGTGAGCCTATATTCTGTATCTTGGCCCTTAGAGAAAGATGAGCAGCTTAACACTGGCACTGCAAGGGTAGCCTCATTGCAAGGGTTAACTTTGTTAGTTCCTGGAGTTCTTCTTTAAACATAGATTACTTTGATATTATCACCTTGATCAGAAATCCAAGAAGCAAGCTGTTTACTCCTTATTTATAGATAGTGAGCAAGATATGCAAATAACACCTTCATGTCCTTGGGCATCAGTTGTGCATCTACAACTGATGTTTATTGCATAAATATATGAGATATATATATATATATAGCATAGTGCAGAATATAGAGCCATTTATCTATCTTACATACATGTGTTGGAAGCTTGTTAACTTTAATGAGTACAAGATACAGATACTTCTGTTTTTGAGGTTGATCCATCAGCTTCCTGAAAATTAATAAACTACACCTCCCATGTCTCAATGCGCTTCTGCATTGCAGATATATTGATATAATTACTTTCTAATTATTTACCCTGCAGCTGTAATATTGCCCTTGTGGTGATCTGCACTTGTACCCTAGCATAACAGACCAATAAGCATTACTTTCCCCTAGTCTGAACCCCGCTCCAGTAATTACCCTCTCCCAGCTTCTCTTGCTCTGCCGGTGCGGAGGCCAGAGTGTCCATACCAGTGCAGCCTGATAAAACCACAGACTCAGGTTTACTTGCTATTGGCTATGGAATTCACCCACTTCCTGTTGTCAATCAGTAGCAGAGTGGACCTGATGGGAAACCTCGGCAGGCCGAGGGGTAGTCCCTCGGCATCCCTCGGCTTCCCCCACTCTCAGCCCCTGGTATTTGTAGATGCTGTTGGCTACACATCAGAGTTGGTCTTAGTTACCAGCAGTTTCCTGATTTAAAAACTGGTGGTGATTTTTTTTTTCTAATCTGTCATAGCCATAGCAACAGGATTTTAAAGTGAAGGTTATAAGAGCTACCTTAATTAGTTGCACAAGTCGGTACTGCACCCAAAACTTTTGCTAGGCTTTAAAGAATTAGGCATAGGTTATTTTACTGGCACTGTACCACCATTAAAGTATCGGAATGCTGTACTGAATTCCCCCCAAAGTGTTTAGCAATATTATCCTGTCTGCCGGCTACATTTTAAATGGTATATCTTATTGGTAGCAATGACAGCAATAGAGAGTGAATAATAGTGTACAGGGCACAAATATAAATGACCATATAAGAACTACAAATATGCACCATTTCAGTGGGATTATCATCTACTGTGGTCATTTAGTCACCGGAAATAGCTCCTAAATGGGTCAATTAGTAGCAGGTTAGGTCTAAAATATCCTTACCTGGCCAATATGTGGCTACCTTAACAGTTCATTATTTTGGATTCTCTCAACCATTTATGGAGAAATAAAAAAAACTGATTAGAGATTGCAGATATCTTGTGGCTGGACTCTAAAATAGACGTATAAATCTTTGTTGGCAATAAGGACTGAAAAGACATTCACTATAAATCTGGTGACATGATGTAGTGCAGAAAATCATGCTAAGCTGACGACAGACTGATTACTTTCTTTACACATTTTTCTCCAAAATATAAAGAAAGGCTTCCAAGTTAATGAAGCAATTAATCAACAAATTCTTCATCCCTGTCCACCCCTGTTGTTTCTCCAGTCGGATCGTATTTCCAGAACAAAAACATCTCCTTTTTTTATTTTCTAAAGAGATCCATCAATGCTATTTGAAACCATTGGGTAAACTAGCAAATAACCTCATGCTGAATGGTGTCCCAGGTATATAGGATTTGACAAAGTAGCTTATAATATTAATATTGAAACTTGGCAGTGAGGACTGATCCTGTAAAACAGACTCTGCAGCCACTATAAACATTAGTAGAGTCCAAGAATCTCTCATTTTTTTACAGAAAAAAAATGATTCCACTGAATTTGTGCCTTGCTATGTGATAAAGCATAATCTTTTCTGCCCTAAGAATAAACAGATTTGTCACCTGGGAGGTAAATGACACACAAAATCTGTGTCATGAACATTTAATGCAGGGTCTTTGTAAATGTCTTTATAATTGTCCCAGAGGGTGCAATGGCTTATTAATATGTCATTGTGCTAAGACAAGACACAAACATAATGTGCTCTGATCATTTAATTCAATGTAGAACAGAATTGTTTATCTAAATGTAATGTCAAAAGTGTCTTTGCTGGTGTAATATAGATTAGTGTTTGTCAACATTGATAATGCATGTACCCCTTTATGAAAATGCCATTTCTATTAAAGGAGAACTATGAGGTGAGTGCTTTTCACTCAACTCATAGTTCTAGCCGACCTGTGACAATGAGACTGTCACAGGTCGCCTCAGTAGATCAGGAGGTGAGCGAACACATATCGGCGTTCGCTCACCTCTCGATCCTGTCACAGCCCTCTGCCGTGACAGGGAAGGGGCTGGATTTCCCCCCTCGCCGCTCCGATCCTCCAGCGCTGACTGGCGGATTGGACGGGGAGGGGGCGGGTACAGCTGGCTCTGCCTCTAGATAGGCAGAGCCAGCTGTCACTCACGCAGCTGGGCAGATCCAGACATAATTGCCTTGATCCGCTTCAGCTGCGGCGTCTCAGTATACCGCGAGCAGTAGCTTGCGGTATACTGTGGCGTCTCAGTATACCGTGAGCTGTAGCTCGTGGTATACTGAGCTTGGGGTGACGGGAGGATGCTAGTTTGTGTCCTCCTGTTACCCTAAGGAGAACTATGGGGAAAAGCCTTAACCCCCTAGTTCTCCTTTTTTTTTGTTTTAATTGTGGGTAGAGAGGGGAATAGTTAAAACCCCTGTCAGTTTTTTTATTTTCCATCCGTGTCTTATTAGGAAGATTTCATTAGAACAAGTGTCCCTATTGGAAACATTTCCCTTTAACCCTTTCTCCGTTATTGCGATTTTTTTGCACACAGATGCAAATTTTAGACCTGAAAATGGGGGGGGCGGCCCCTTCTTCGGGACGCAGAAGCGATCTGGCGACAGGTAAGTCGCCAGGATCGCTTCTGTTGTAAAGCCGACAGTCGGCTCTACAAGTTTAAACAGACTCCCGGCGGCAAAAGTCGCCGGGAGTCTGTTTAAACAGCCCCGATGCTGGCGACGTACACTGTACGTCGTCAGTCACGTAGGGGTTAAAATCCCCAGGATTATATATTTCCTGAAATCAGAGACCCTATAGAATGAAATGGTGCCAGTTGCATGTGATAGCGTGTTTATGGTGACAGGCCTTCTTTAAAGGAGCTCTATAAGACCCACATCGGCTCACATAGTGCTCGATCAGTTTCTTACCCAGTCTCTGGGTAAAGACAGCTCAGAAACCAGAAATGACTAAATCATCATTGCTTCTGGGTTCACTCTGCAAGGAAGAGATCAGAGAACAGATGTTCACTAGTCTCCCTCTCCTCTCTCAGCCTCTGCCGACCATGCTGGTCCCAGGCCCTCTGGAGGGGCAGCGGAACCTGGGAAACATGGGGAAGTGGGTCGCGCAGGGGGGCATGTACGTATGGCAGCCAGTGGAAATAAACCACTTCCAGTGTAAAG